CATATAATAAAAAAATTTTAAAGACATGAGAAGAACAAAATATATTCATTTCTTAATTTTGTTAATATTCTAAAAAGATATCAATAAAAAATAATCAAAATCATAAATTTTCCAAAAAAATTTTAACTCATCATAAAAAAATATTTAAGATTCAAGATGTGATTAAGGAATTTCACCCCTCTTACCTAATTTTTTTGGCTCTACCCCTTATGATAATCTCATTTTAGTGAAAGTTATAATGTGTTTGAATTGAAAGGAGGAGAGGGGAAAAAATATATATATATATTTTTAAAAAAAATTGGAGAGGAGGGGAGGAAATTTTTTTTTTAATTTTTTCTTTTAATTTGATTATTTATCGAAATGAGGAGAAGGAAGTGGAGGGGAATGGAGAGGAAAATTTTTCCTCCACTCCCTTCCAATCAATCCAAATCTATGGTAAAAGATTATAAATTCGAATGATATGAGATACAGATAAGGTGGCTTAAGAAATAAAAAAAAAAATTATTTTTTATTAAACAATTTAAATTTTTTTTAAAAATAAAAAGTATTATAAGGATACCTCCAACCATTATGTTAGGCTAAAGTTAAAAACATATAAAGCACAATACAATAAAATTAAACATGACCCTTGCAAACGTTAAACCTTCCCAAGCCTACTAGTACAATCTCAAAATTGAACATCCTGCTTGATACTTCCTGATCTTCTATCTGCAGGAACCAAGCCCTGCACCTCCACCCTGCAAAAAATTGGTCCGTACTCCTAGGCTCCTAGCTAGTTTTTCTCTCAATCATAAGAAAACTCTTTACATTGCCTATTTGCAAAAAAATCATAAGAAAACTCTAGGTACAAAAAACATGCCAATATTTTCTGATTGATCAATTTGATCCCCTGTATTTTTCTTTCCTAGGTCAAAGAATAATTTGCTATGTGCTCAAGGCACTTCTCCTTGATAATTCTTCTGATATGAACATCTAGAAAAACTCATTTTTAAATATTACTCTATTTCCAATCTCATTATGCGTTATGGCAAAGACTGGGAACATCTACAATGGATGCTCTGTTTGTTGGTCTTTTTTTTTTTTTTAACAAATATGGAACAAAACATATCAAAGCATCCATTGGTGAAATCCCTAAGAGGGTGGCTCAATAATTAAGAGTTGGAGATTGCAAATTGAAGATTTTAGTTCAAATTTTGAGTCATGTAAAGAGGGATTTAAGAAAATGGGAGAGCTATCTTCTCTTACATAATCCATTCAAATGTACAAAAAGGAAAAATCCATTGGTGAAAAATAAAAGGCAAAAATAAAAAAAGAGTTGAACTCTCAGCACCAAGCTCGCTTTCTTTCTTTCTTATACTTTTTTTTTTTCTTTTTTTTTTTAAAAAAATTTTTAGGCCTTCGCAGCTTGGACAATTCCTTCCTCGGCAGCAGTTGGATCAAACTACCATTTGGTTTTCTTTTTTCTTTTACTTCAAAATTTTTTCTTTAAAGTATGTTGAATAAAATAATATTAATTTAATTTTTGAGGAAGCTCTGTTTTAAATTTATGCATTGGAAATGACTTGTTTTATTATTTGAAGATTAAATATTTAAAATGTGAGTTTATATAAAATAATAATAATTATAATGATATGGCACAAAAAGTAAGTTTTGTATTGTACTCCATTGCACATGCTCTAATGAGTCTTTTTTGTTAATACTTTACAAAGACCTTTTCACACAACATTTTATTTTAAAAAGTAAATCTATAATTCTTAATTTTAATTAATATTTTTATATATTTTTATTAATTTTAACTAATTTTTTAATATATTTTTATTAATTTTAACTAATTTTTTTAATATAATTTTATAATAATAAAAGACAAAATGTACTATATTAGTACACAACACAATATTGATAAATAAAGGCTAAATCTTTTAGTACTTCTTGTCTTTCTAGACTTGTATTAGGCCATATTTGGCTAGAAATAGGAATGCAGTCATATTTAATATATTTATTAAAAAATTATTATTTTTTGATTTAAAATTAAAAGTTAATAAATTTAAAAATATATTTATACATATAAAATATAAAAATTAATGTATTTATATTATAATTTTAATTATTAAACTGAATGAATATTAAAAAATATGTTAAACTAAATATGTATTACTCATTTTTTTTTTCTTCTTTATTAGAGGAAGAAATTAGAATAATTGGCTATAGTTTTAAATTAGCCATCGCCATGATCCCACTGATGTCACCGGTGTGACATCTGTAGAATGTTCTGTTGAAAGTTTTATCCCCACTCCGGGAACCAGGATATTCCATCCATTTTCCAGGGAAAATTTAAATTTGATAAAAAAAAAAAAAAAAGCGACATCCACAACGAAAAAAATGGCATGCGTGAGGTATAATTTCAATAGCGATCAGCATTTGATTAGAAAAATCGTGTTCATTTCATAAACGGAACTGCTTGGTTGGACCGGCTAAAACTTTGGGAGAATAGCATATGTGAACTCTTACATGCTTCAGAATAGGTTGCAGTGACATTAATATTATTTTAAGGCATGATTAGTCAAGTCTTCATAGTCAAAATTAAATTGATTTTGCTTAGTCACTACTTGAACAACATTGGTACAATTTGGATAAGGTTTGGTTTTGCAATTACCTTTGCATGTTATCTATAAATAACCTTGGACTGACATTCCTTCTCCTTACACCTACCATCACATTGTCTTCTTTCAAAGATGAGCTGCTTACCAATCTTTCAACTTCTCTGCTTCCTTTTGTTCATCCTCAGCTTTCAAACTAATCTTTCCTTCCCTTTATCTGCCCCTCCAACTAGAGAATTGTGCTCTCCTAAGGAGAGTGCTGCTCTTCTACAATTCAAAAACGCCTTCTTCATTGACCATGAATATGTTTCTATTCTGTGTGGCGCATTTCATGTTAAATTTTATCCTAACATGGAGTCGTGGAAGGAAGGTACAGACTGCTGCTTTTGGGATGGGGTAACTTGTGACAATATTACCCACCATGTGATTGGCCTTGATCTCAGTTGTGGCGGGCTTTCTGGTACCCTCCGTTCCAATAGTAGCCTCTTCACCCTTTCATACCTACAAAGACTCAACCTTGCCAATAATAACTTTCAAGACTCTCAGTTTTCACCAATGTTTGGTCAATTCACAAGCTTAACATACCTGAACCTCTCCCATTCATGGTTTTCCGGGCAAGTCCCATCTGAAATCTCCCACTTGAACAAATTGCTTTCAATTGATCTCTCCTCTAATTTGGTCTCGCTTAAAACTCATACATTGAAAGGACTTGTTCAGAACCTAACAGAGGTAAGACAACTTTTCCTTGATGGAATAGACATGTCTTATGTTGATCCTTCCTCTTTCATGAATCTACCATTTTCTTTGACACATCTAAGTCTTGAAAACTGTGTTTTGAAAGGAAATTTTTCAAGAAACATTTTCCGCCTTCCAAATCTTGTTTGGCTCAATTTAAAAGGAAATTTCAACCTCATTCCTAAACTTCCTAAGTCAAACTGGAGTGGTCCACTTCAGTTTTTGGATCTTTCAGAGACATCTTTTTTTGAAAAATTCCCTGATTCTATTATAAATTTAGTATCCTTAAGGCATTTGAGTATGGTATCATGTTTTTGTTCAGGATCACTTCCAAGAGCGTTAGGGAACTTAACAAAACTTATTTTCTTGGACCTTTCTCGCAACCAAATCATTGGTCCAGTCCCATCCTCAGTTACGAACCTAACACAACTTCAGTTTTTGTATCTTTACAATAATAATTTAGGTGGTCCCATTCCTGATCAAGTAGCTTCTTTTCTAGAACTAAAAGAAATAGACTTGTCTAATAACTTTCTCAATGGATCCATGCCTTCTTGGGTGTTTAACATGCCATCATTAGAGTCACTAGTTCTTTCCAATAACCAAATTACTGGTCAGATCTCATCATCTTTCACAAATCTAACACAGCTTTTGTCTTTGCATCTTTCTAATAATCACCTGGTTGGTTCTATTCCTGATCAAGCAACTTCTTTTCTGAATCTAAGAGAAATAGACTTGTCTCATAACTTTCTCATGAGATCAATACCTTCTTGGGTGTTCAACCTATCATCATTGGAGTTGCTAAGCCTTGAAAATAACCAACTCACTGGTCACCTAAATGAATTTCAACATGAATCATTGACGCACATAAACTTGGCAAATAATGGGCTTGTGGGTCCGATTCCAAGCTCAATATCCCACCTTTTGAATCTTACTTCACTAGATTTGTCATCAAATAATTTGAATGCAATTCTTGACTTGGACATGTTTGCAAAGCTCAAAAATCTCCGATCTCTTGATCTTTCACAAAACAGTGATCTGTCAGTCATCTCCACCGTCAATGTCACTTACAGCTTGCCTCATCTTACAACCTTGATTTTGTCTTCTTGCAACACCTCCCAAATTCCTAAGTTCTTGAGAGGCTTAGAGGGTTTGTGGACCTTAGACCTTTCTAACAATAAGATTCAAGACATTCCTGAATGGATGTGGGATGTTGGGAAGGAAACTTTGAATTACTTAAATCTCTCTCATAACTCTCTAGTAAATATAAAGCAGCTTTCTTGGAAAAGCATTGGGACTCTTGATCTCAGCTTTAATTTGATTGAAGGGCCTCTTCCAATTCCACCTCCTAGTGTCCATTTCTATTCAATCTCAAAAAATAGCTTGACAGGAGAGATTTCTCCTTTGATTTGCAGACTCAATCAACTTGTAGTTCTTGACTTGTCTCACAACAACTTGAGTGGAATCATTCCACCATGCCTTGGAAACTCGAGCAATCTTGAAGTATTGAATCTAAGGATGAACAAGTTAAGAGGAATGATCCCCACAACATTTACAAAAGGTTGTACTCTGACAAATCTTAACTTGAATGCTAATCAACTTGAAGGTTTGATGCCAGAAGCAATTGTCAACTGCAGAGACCTGGAAGTTCTAGATCTTGGCAACAATAACTTGTATGGTAGATTTCCCCAATGGTTAGGAACTCTTCCGGTGCTGCAAGTTCTTGTTTTAAGGTCAAATAAATTCTATGGCTTTCTAAGAGATTCCAAGACTAGCCTTTCTTTCCCGAAGCTGCAAATTCTGGATGTCTCCAACAATAATTTTTCTGGTCCAATTCCAGCTGGGTGCATCAAAAATTTGAAGGCCATGATGAATTTCAAGGAAGGTAAAACTGATTTGCTCTACATGGGAGGATATTTACGTTTTGGTACATTTGATGAGTATTCTATTAGTTTGGTGGAAAAGGGGTTTGAGATAGAATTGGTTAAAATTTTAACTATGCTCACAAGCATTGATCTCTCAAATAACAAGTTTGAAGGGGAGATTCCAGATGTTGTTGGAAAGCTTTATTCTCTTAAAGGGCTTAATCTTTCTTATAACAAGCTCAGTGGTTGTATTCCACAAGCAATGGGAAATTTGACCATTCTTGAATGGTTAGACCTCTCTTCAAATCATTTGGAAGGGGAGATTCCACGAGAATTGGTAGACCTAAAATGGCTTTCTGTCTTCAACCTTTCCAATAATCAATTGGTTGGACCCATACCTCAAGGTAAACAGTTCAACACATTTGATGAAAGTTCCTATAAGGGAAACCTGGGCCTATGTGGATTACCGTTGTCAAAGGCTTGCAACAAAAGCACGATGCATCCGAAACTACTTAGCTCAAAAAAAGATGAGCTATGGGGGTTTGGTTGGAAAACAGTATTGTTGGGCTATGGATGTGGAATGGCATTTGGATTGTTCATGGGGTATCTTGTCTTCTGGACAGGGAAACCGAAATGGCTTGTAACTTTGTTTGATGGACTACAAAATCAAAGGACAAGGAAGTCGAAGAAGACTCGAAGGTGTGTTCGAAGAAGAAACTAGCTACAGGGCAGGCAAAGGTTATTTTTTGTTGTCATACATCCATGCCTTTTCTTTTGCATGCCTTAGTTTTTCCTTTCCCTTTCTTGTAACAAGTCCTCTGTACCATGTTCTCTGTATTCAACTTTACTACTGCTTGTTAGATGAATGCTCATTTTAATGATCTAAATGTCATTGGCATGTCTTGTCTTAATTGGTGCCGAAATATTTGTAATTCGGTCCTCTAATCAACTCAAACTGAATTTGCAATTAACCTGCAGAAAGGAAAACTTGGAAATGCTGTCGACGATTAAATAAAATTTATTTTTAAGAAGGATGTGTAAAAATTAAAATATCCAATCCATCTTTAACCTTCATTACAGGGGAATAGTCAAGACTTGACATAGGGGATACCATGTAGTATTTTCTTTCAAGTAATTCCTCATTCTTCTTCTTCCATTTGTTTCTTTTTTATTTTACTCTGTTTTGCAGCACTAGAACTCACAAAACAGGGCCTTAGGAGGGATCAAACCCATTTGAATACTTGGATTGGTTAAGAAACTTAATCTCACTTTATCTTCTTTTCTTCCTATTGTAATGTACTTTTTTAAAAAAATGCGTTGGAGCACCATTTTTATTTTCTTTCAGTAATATATAATAATAAATTTTTTTGCAGGTAAAAGCAAATTTTCTCTTATTAAAAAAAATCACTTTAGTTGATTTTCTGATTTTATATCTTTAGTTATCTTGTATCACCATCTTCTTCTTCTTTTTTTTTTTTAATTTTAAATTACATAATATAAGAAAACTCTCTTTCATTCTTGTTCTCATCCTATTTGTATTTTTTTTCTAAATGTTTATAACTTTTAAAGTGTGTTATTAATAAATTTTAAGGTGGTTAGCGCAATATTTTTCCTTCAACATATTTTCAAAATTTAGGAAGGAAATAGTACTTGCAAGCAACATAAGTCCTCACATTTATGGTGATGGTGGTCATAGATCGAGACAGAATATAGAAAATAATGGGGAGAAAATCAACTATATCTCTTAAGTCCATGAGCGGAGCTAGAGAGTGGTTTGAGGGGGCACAGGCCCCCTCAAACTTTCGAAGAAAAATACCACAGGGAGTAGAAACCATCCATTCATACGGAATATGGTTCCTATTGAGGAGCATTCTTAGTGGTGCAGGATGTAACCTGCATTTGTAGGGAATCTTTGACTGCTCGAAAAAATTGAGGAGCCTTAATAGTAATACAGCTGGTGTATTCGAGAATACAAATATATATTTTTTGGCAGAAGTTATAATTAAATTACTTTTTTATATTTTTAAATTGAACTAAATTAACCAAAATAAATTAAAATAAATGACCACCTCAAAATTTTATTTTTTAAAAAATAAATTTAAATTTAACAATTAGCTTCAATTTTTTGTTGAATTTGAATAAGAATAGTTCAACAAATTAAAAAAAAAAAAGTAGACTGTTAATAATTAAATTTGAACTAATTTTTTAAAAATAAAAATATAATAGCGTAGTTTTTTTCAATTTCTTTATTAAGCGTTAATTTATTTTATCCAAAAATATTAACAGAGGATTTACATATTTGGCTTTTTTTTTTTTTTTTACAAAAACCAACATTTAACCTCTTACCTTGTAAAGTTGATAAGTTTTAATCCTTTACCTTATAATATAACATTTTGAACCCTTTATTTTACAAATTTAGTAAGTTTTAGCCCATCAACTTACAAACTTGGTAGGTTTTAACCCTTCACCTTATATTATGATATTTTTAACCCCTTATCTATACGAATTGAAGAAAATAACTCCCACCTAATATTAGATTATAATATTATGTTGGTTCTGTTAGTTGATTGTTAACATTTATTAGCATTTCGTTATAAAAAACATGAAATTTAAATTCAATTTTATTTGTTAAGTTCCATTAATAGAATGCTAACGGATGTTAACAGTCAGCTAA